TATATATATATATACATACACACACACACACACACAAACATAAAAAATAAAACTATGCCGCAGGATTAGAAATATAGACTATGTAAATACAGAAATATAGACTATGTATGTATGTGCAAGTGTACAATGTATTTTTTATGTTGCAATATTGACGTATGTGCAAAACAATAGCACGGTAGCGTGCAAATTGAATGCAACTGTAGGTAATAATAGCAGCAGCAGTAACATTAACAATGTGCAAATTGAGATGCAGCTACTTGATAATAATAGCAGCAGTAACATTACTGCTTATGTTGCAATATTGACTTATGTGCAAATCGAATGTAACTGTATGATAATAATAGCAGCAGCAGTAACAATAGCAATGTGTAACAAGAGATGCAACTACTTGATGATAATAGCAGCAGTAACATTAACAAATGTGCAAAATGAGAAGAAGCAATTCAGTCCAAATAATCTATAAAATAGATTAGACTAGTCTATGTCCTCTGGCTACCTAATGGCTGAGGGAAAGGAGTCCCTTAAGCTACTAAGAAAGTTAATAAACTCTTAATTCAATATTGTCAATACCTCAATATTGTCGACTCTGACATTGCCCAGGAGAACTGGGTAATTATAAACCTACCATATGTCTAAAATATTAGAAACAGTATCCGTTTAACAAAAATATATAAACTTTTTACATATTTCCATCTTTTTTATGTAACCATGCAGCCGTCAGCTACAGTATCGCATCAGATAGTGCGCTATAGATCCCCTGAGGAACAATTCCATTCATTCTCTACTATAGGAGAGGAAGAATTGTATAAACTTGTTAAAGCAGCACTATGTAACTTTTTCTGTGTTCAAAATTTGCAAAATGTATATAATGAGCAAGTACATCATGAATTCATCTTCCAAACCGCGTTTTTGTCTTATTCCGAATCACTACGGTACACTTATAATAAGTACTTATATTTGGACTATTGTAGCCTGGTCGGGTCGTCACCGCTGCGGAGTAACACATACCTGCGTGAATCGCCATAGACATAAACTTAGAGAAGTAGCTCCGGTTGGAATGTTCTTCCGCGGGATGTGTGCAGTTCTGTTTATTAACCGCTAGAGCGCCAAAAGTTACATAGTGCTGCTTCCGTTACTCTTCACGCTTTACATGTTACCCTTGGGAGATATCATCAGGAAACACGGTGTTAGCTTTCACTGTTATGCTGATGATACTCAGCTCTATATTTATTCACGGCCCAATGAAGCATACCAATTTGCAAAACTAACGGAATGCATAATTGATATAAAAAAAAATGGATGACTAGTAATTTCTTACTGCTAAATTCTGAAAAAGTTATCGGACCAAAAACTTCTGCAAAAGGTCCTTAGGGTACGGCAGTTATCTGAAGCTCCGAAATGTCTCCCGTGTCTCTCAAGTTTAATGGTATGTGAATTATGTACCACACAGTGCAATGTTAAATGCAGCAAATTTTCATGGTTCACACCAGCGACACGATTGCAGCTGCCCTAAAAGAAATGCTAGACAAGTGGCAAATTCCATTGAGAAAAATTACATTATTCTGAGGAACGATACCAGCAACATAAGAAAAGCAACGCACTGTGCATAAAATTCAGCTCGTAGTCAACGAGGGACTTCTTTCACAATGCAGTGTGAGTGATGGTGTTACAAGTGGGATACACATTATTGGACACTTCAAATATTCTCCACTTGCATATTCTTAGATGCAAGATATCCAGTTCGAGATAAATGCCTCCAGCGAGACGTCAAAACGAGGTGGAATCGCACCTACTTCATGACAGAAAGTCTGTTGGAACAGAAGCAAGCCCTGTCTGCCTGTGCCGCTGACCATGACCTGCCCACAACACTCACGGCAAACGAGCGGGTCTTGCTTCAGAAAACAGTGACCGGTCTTGAACCATTCAAGAAGAACAGCAGCAGCTTAATGAAAGATTTAACAAAAAGCGGGAGGAGCATGAGGGAGATTGTGGTGCAGCAAGCAGCTCCAGCACTGCTGTACAAACACATGGATTTTTCACAGAGGAAACGATTCCTGCCACACATGACCCATACAAATGCTGGGGAGTCAACCACCAGCGGTTTCCTGGCCTTGCTCCCGCTGCCCTGGAATACCTCTGCATGCCCTGCGCTAGCGTAGAAAGTGAAAGGCTGTTCCGCACCGTCTCCTGCATGAGAAGTGAAACAGACTGACAGCCGAGAGACAGAAATGCTTGCTTTCCTAAGCAAGAACCTGCCAGTGATGCTTAAGCCTGAGCTTGAGAAATCTGCTTGAGCAAGTCACCAAAAGTGATGTTTATGTATTAATTTGCAGTGGTGATTGGCTGATGTGGCTGGAGAGTACGCGTCTACATCATCAGTTTTCCAAGCTTTTCTCAGTATTGTTCATGAGAATAAACTCTTATGATCCAATCACTGTATTATGAATAAGGTTGTATTACAGGCTTCCGTGCCACCAGTTCATCTCTGTAAACATGACCGTAACAATATTTAATATGAAAACACGTGGAGCGCGCATGAGAGAGCGGTTTATGTGCAGAACACCACAATGAGTTTAACAACACTCGCTGCGCGGATCATAGTTCATATCCGGACCGGAGCAAGCGTGTTTAAAGTTTGTGAACATATTTCATATTTTCTCTCCTCCAAACATGAACCAGCACAGTGTATGCGCACATATCATGTCTTCTTCAAATGAAATATGCACAAATAAAGGCGTTAATACAGCGGTACGTCTGATCATGAACGCGATGACACCACGGATTATTGTGATACACAGTATCTGTAAATATTAAGCCGCAAAATACCATTTTAATAAGAATCCTGCATTTCTGCATGATTGAATGGCACAGACGCGCGGTTTTGTTTACTACATATACTAGACAGAAAATCTGAAATACATTCAGGTGATTCATTTTTAAATAATTCACCTTGGTCTCTAAAAATGACTGATATTGACCGTTAATCAAATTTAGCACTTTTATGAAAATATTATAATGCTTTGTAATCATCATTTAAATCTGACTGATTTTCAAACTGTTTGTCATAAATAAACATCTCAGAAACATGTTATGGATTTTTTAAAATCAGTATTAAACGAAACAGGGCGTTATTTTCATACGTGTCTTCTGTAGAGGACACAGCACAAACAACATGTTAATCATTTAGAGCTGGCAGTCAATAGAGAGCAAGATTATAGATCAATATTCCTATGAAATATTATATATTCTTATGAAAAGTTATTACTCCCATTATTACAGCTCTTTTCTCATTACATGTTGCCCCAACAACACATTAAAAGGCTAATTAGATTCAATGTATCGATACTTTGTATAGAATGGGACAACCAATTTAAGGACATTTTACACACTTACTGCATAGAGTAAAATAGTTTATTTAAACGAAGCTACAAAACCTTAAAGAGAAATCCGCAGAAGAACAGACTGGGTGCAAAAACATCTGACCACTGAGAAAATGCTCTTAACACCAAAGCCTTTAAGAGCAGGACTGTCTTTAGTCCGTATACTGGTGCTTTTGGCTTATTTACTGTGAATGTTTGCTGCTATTTATGTTCAGTAAAGTGCTTCTGACGATTAAAAATATCACTTGCATTTCACAGTTTATGAAAAGTTGTATTTTGTTTTAATTAAGTGAATTAGAAATGAATGCTGTTCATTGTTTTCAGTTCAGAGGTTGATTCTGGGGCGTTATGTTTCGTCTTGGCTACTTCTGTATTATTATTATTATTTCTAAATGACTGCATTATATGAGATGATGATGAATGGCAAGCAGAAGCAGGATCTCATCAGGTGCATTTATAACACTCACATATATCAGTCTTCAGAAATATCAGTCATATCTGTAATAGAGATCAAAGAACTGAGTTGAGCTCAGAATGAAACTAACCTGTCTCTTCATGTTTGAACGCTTCATCAATCCTGGTGTCTTCACTCTCCTCTTTAATAAACGCCATCTGTACAACAGTCACATTCATTAACAGAGAATCATAAACACAAGCTACATCTCTGTCTCTAGTTCAGTCAGCAGTCAGAGTGCGAGTTAATGAGCTCATCAGACTAAACACGCTCAGAACTAGCTCTACACATCAATAACAGAAAGCTAATCACACAGGAGGTTCGGTGATTTATGTTCGGTATTGTCGATGATATTGACTACACGCTGATGAAATCGTTTGTAATTGTAATAATCGAGATTTCACGCGTTGTGTGTGTTTGTTGTTCTCATTCGCACTCTTTCGAGCAGCGGTTTCAAACTGGATCATTTTGCGAGCTTTTGACTCCAAAAGTTTCGAAAAGCAGACTGTTTTCTGTCACTACACCCCAGAGAGAGAAATCGTACTAACCATAATAATGTAATAATTACTTCATGTACATAGTTTGTACGTACTATACAATAACTCGGTTTAAAACTTAAAACACAAACCTTTCTTCAGGCGAATCACAGACGCAGGCCGATGACGTCACGCCGCCGCGCCAAAATAAAAGTCGGCTTCTTCTTTTGAGGTTTTATTGGCAGTTACAGGATATTTGGTTAACTGTGAAAAATAATACTATATACTTTAATTGAAGTGATAGACCTGATAATGTCCTTCTGTTTTAATTCTTCAGTGACTGATTCAGATGAAATCTCTGGTTGTTGTAAGTATCAGCAGTTTCTCGTTGACTACAGTAAATGCATTAAATGTATATAATGTATGATCTATTCTCAGCTGAGGTCTGGTTTCTCCTTCCCTTCGTTTTGTATATTATAGAAATGAGATAATTCCTGTATTTCTTGCCTTCACATCACCTCTCCACACAAAACTTGTAAAAATGGTCTCATAATGTTCCCAGGGTTTTTTCAGTACACTTTTGGCAGGATGCGTTTCATTAATCTTCTAATTCTTAAAGGCACAAAATAAAAAAAAACGTCCTGTTTTCACGTTAACGTCATAAAAGAGCCTAGAGTACACAGGAAAACACACGAAGAATAAAACAGTATTCAGAGCTGTGTTCTTGGTGAAAAACTTGGTCTGTTGTCATGTTTTTTCATGCCTTCTGATGTTCCTTCACTTTATTCTTGTAGTAGGCTATTTCGACTTTATTCTAAAAAATAAAGTCGAAATATTACGAAAATAAAGTCGAAATATTACGAGAATAAAGTCGTAATATTTCTACTTTATTTTCGTAGTATTTCGACTTTATTCTTGTAGTAGGCTATTTCGACTTTATTCTTGTAATATTTCGACTTTATTCTCGTAATATTTCGACTTTATTCTTGTAGTAGGCTATTTCGACTTTATTCTCGTAACATTTCGACTTTATTTTCGTAATATTTCGACTTTATTCTTGTAGTAGGCTATTTCGACTTTATTTTCGTAATATTTCGACTTTATTCTTGTAGTAGGCTATTTAGACTTTATTCTCGTAATATTTCGACTTTATTCTTGTAGTAGGCTATTTCGACTTTATTCTCGTAAAATTTCGACTTTATTCTCATAGTAGGCTGTTTCGAATTTATTCTCGAAATATTACGACTTTAATCTCGTAATCTTAGATTTTTTTATTTTTATTTACGTAGCACTAAAACGCCGTCGTACATAAGTACATAGTTAGTTAAACACACCTACAATAAAGCGGGACCTTGTTTTGTAACATAGTCCACTAAAAAGACATTTGAAGAGTAACACAAAATATAAAAATATATGATGTTTGAGTGTGTAGAGACTTAACAGAATTTAGCTTCGACCCTGAAACATAAGCGTTTTTCTATGGCTTGTGGCTATAATTCTTATCATTTATCATCAGTTTATGGCTTTAATATTGAAAAAGTGACACAAATAATGTAAATAATGTTGAAAGTTTATAAAGGTATGATGGAAATAAATCTCATCAATCATCATTTAGACATTTGTATACCTACTTTCAGGTATTTTTAGACTCGGATTAACTTTTCCACATTTTTAAAATGAGAAAAACTCATTTCAATATTGAAACAAGAATTTAGAACATTTCTAAATCACATTTGTATTTTAATCTAATTTATATCTGGTATAAAATGTTTTTCTCACAGTGGTTTCCTAATATTTTCAGCACATAATTGGACAACATACATTTAAATGTTTTTTGACTAATACATTAAACTCTGAATTTCTGTCAACTCTTTAATTATTTGTATATCATGTTCTATGTAAATGTTTTTAGACAGCAGCGTGTGACCAGGACTTTTATTGTGGCGCGGTGATGTGACGTCATAAGTGTGCGCCGGGCTCCTGCATCTGCTGTGATCCGACTGCGGAAGGGTTTGTTTAAAGCATCTTTAAACACCGTTCAATCAACTCGAAAGGTTTGCATGCAATGGAAAATTGTTTATTATTGACTGTAACATATTAATGTGTTATCTAAAATATATGAATGTCATTTGTGTGAGTAAATAAGCGCATCCACACACGAGTAATACAAAAGTAGCGTCTCATTTATAAACATGAATTCAGTGATGGAGAAACTGAGCTGTTTAAACTCCGAGTCAGTTGAATCAAATGCTTCGCAGACGTCACATGTGCTGGTCAAAACACTTTAATTCGACACAAACGTGTTAAATAAAAACTTAAACCAATAGAACATGTTTTTATTAAAGTACAGTCTGATACATGTGGTCAACAAATCATTAGATACAAAAAAAATTACTTTCATTATAAATTGTTATTTTATTAATGTTGTAGTGCTAGTTTTGAGTGTTTTTGTTTAATTAGGTGCCTCTACTTTGACTCCCTCACTAGTGCGCTGACTACTGAACTAGAGAGCTGATTGAGACGCACCCAGAGATTCAGTTCATTTTTCTTTCTGTTCATCTCATCTTATCTTAATCATGACAGAGTGTCCAAACACAGAGAAACTCCCGCTGAAGCGACTGAGAGCCTCGTCACACACTTATAAAAATGGCGTTTATTAAAGAGGAGACTGAAGACTTCAGGATTGAAGAAGCGTTCAGTCTGAAACAAGAAGACACTGAGGAACAAACAGGTTAGTTTCATTCTCAAAGCTCTGAGATGAATGATATTTGTATGAGTGTCCCGAGTCGACCCATGTGGACAGACATGTTGAGATCACATGACAGGCAAATAAAACTAACTTTATAACAAACTTATTTTTAATCAAACTTGAACTTTGAATGTTTGTGAGTGACAATCAAAGTCTCAAACTGAAGAAAACATCTGTTGTGATCTTCTTTCAAGCTCAGGTGTAAATGTAGCATAAGTTGATCTAGGATGGGGGGGGTTTCTTCTCCTGGGGCCTGATGAATAAAAGTTGCGTATGCACAAAATGGGCTTATCAGGAATTATTAAAAATAAAATGGGCATAAATATGTGCACACTGTACAAACACTAGACAGTGCATACGCTGATAATTACAAAAGCAGAACTTGTGTTCTGTGGAAATATCTTCATGCAAATAATGATAAATGATGCGCTCTTGACTCTAAGCAGATGGCTTAGCAACATAGATGGTGTAATGACAGACGCTGACGGACTCGAACTCGGTGATGGAACGGTCCATTGATTGGTTTGAATAAGAAACTCGCACACTAATGTATAAGAAGTACACAGTACTGTACAATAGGGCTGTGCAATTAATCGGATTTCGATTTTGGGTCTCAACGATCACAAAAACTGTGTAATCGAGAAAAAACGATTATTCAGTTTTTCAAGTTATTTTGGCCTGCGTTCCTAATGACGCGCATGCGCACTTTCGCCCCTCCCGAAGCTCGAACTCTCTCAGCCTATACTGTCGGCAAAACAAGTCGCGTATGTAGTATCTGGTCGCATTTAAAAATCAGCGCGAGTGAAGATGGCAGAACGAGAGCAGCCACAGAAATCTTGGGTCAACAAAAGAGGTAAAAGCAATTCCGTTGTTTGGGAACCGTTTGGATTCGAAGAAGCGGAAGTGGATCAAAAACATATTAAGTGCAAGATTTGCTACGCGGTGGTGTCAGCACCGCTTGGTAACACCACAAATCTTTTTAACCATCTAAAATTTAAACAGACCGACATATGACCAACTAATAATAAAGAAACAGAAAGAACAACCCCCACGACGTCCTCCACAACACAGTCATCCATTAAAGACTGACTCTTCAGTGCAACTCCTTATCCATCCAGCTCAGAAAAGCACAAAAAAATAACAGATGCCATTGCATACTTCTTAGCCAAAGACATGTGCCCCATTAGCACGGTTGAGAACGAAGGATTCCAAAAAATGATAAATACTCTGGACAAGCGTTATGCTTTGCCATCTCGACACCATTTCACCAGAGTTGCTCTGCCTGCTTTATATGAAAAATGCCGTGCAGAAGTGGCTAATGAAGTGTCAAAAGCAGAGTACTTCGCCACCACAACAGACCTATGGTCTAGCCGTACAATGGAGCCATACATTAGCTTAACACTACACTTCATCTGCGCCAATTTCAATTTGAATACGAAATGTCTCCAAACTGCGTTTATTCCTGAAGACCATACCGGGCAAAACATAGCCCATGGACTCAGGGAAGCTATGGCTGCATGGGGTTTAAACGAGGAAAACCTCACCTGCATCACAACATAAAGCCGGCAGCTGAGGTAAATGGATGGATGAGGCTTCAGTATTTCGGGCACAGACTCCACTTGGCCATAGGTATGTAGGAAACCTTCATACAGATTATATGTAATGTGGTGATTTAATTGTACTATCACACTAACCTTTTACTATTATTATTATTATTACCACTTGAACTACTCTTTGATGCCTTCTTACTCTGTCTTAACAAATGTTGCTTTGATGAGGGTGGCGATGATCATATAGTTGACTAAATAGTATTTATTGTAATCTTAGAGAATGTAATGAAGGATCCTAGGGTCGACCGTGCAATGAGGGTCTGCAAGAAGCTCATCAGCAGCTTTTCCTATAGTTGGAAAAAAAAGAGGGAACTTGCAGAGGCACAAAAGCAGCTGAAGACTCCCTTAAAACAGAATGCCCAACCAGATGGGGATCTAGGCAGGCCATGATGGACAGAGTCCTTGAGCAGCATAAGGCCATTGCCCAGGTCCTTTCTAGCGACCGAAAACTCAGACATCTCACCCTCTCTTGGCAGGACATGGACGTACTGGAGGCCATCAATAAGTCTCTTAGCCCCCTTGTTGAATTCAGTGACGCACTTTCTGGAGGGAAATACATAAGTGTGTCTTTTCTGAAACCAACCCTCCACCTCTTCAGAAATTCAATATTGGAAGTGCAGGAGGATGACACAGACCTTGCCAAAAGCATCAAACAGAAGATAGTAGACTACCTCAATGACAAATACAGCGACACAAGAGTTACTCGACATGGCCTCTGCCCTGGACCCAAGGTTCAAGCTTAAATATGTCAACAAAGACAACCGAGGGTCTATTGAAGACAGACTGACAGCAGAGATGAAGAGTGTGATGACTGACAT